TAAATGGAAAATGTCAGCACTAACATCTATCAGCACAGAAATTATCTTTAACAATGTCATTAGTTATGCCTTTAAACTTTTTCAGGAGATCTGGAAGCAGGGCTATTTATCACACGTGGAGTCCACATTTGCAAGATCTCTCAATATTAGAACCCTAGAAAGTAGTTGCTCTGCTGCATTTGAGGTTATGGCTCTGAGAGTTCAATCTTTTTTTATTTTGCAAAGTCTTTGGACTTTATATGTTCCTTTCCACCTCTCCTTATGCACTGCATCCCTGAGCAAGTTATTATTAAAGTCTCCTAAAGCAGGATGTTCACATGGGACTGATTTGGAAACCATATTTAGAGCATATTATCTTAATTCTTTATCAGCTTTCATGGGCAAGAGCTTGAGACATTTTTCTGTACTAGTTCTTTGAAAGCACAAATCTTGCTAGTCCTGAATTCTTACTGTCTTTGGTGTAATTGTAGCCTTCAACTCTTATGCTATCAGTGAAGTGAGATTTTTCTTCCACCCTCTTGAGCTTCACAGAAGATAAAATCCCAGTCCTTTTTCATGTTAAGCCCTTGTACTGTTGTATTCTGCAGAACTGGGGGCAGAGGACCTTGGATTGTGGATCCTCTGTGGTCCCCTTTGACTTCACTGAGTTGACATAATCCACAGCGTCTGCTGCTCTGTCTTGGGCAGTACTTTGATCAGCACATTTGCAGAGATAGGTGAATTTTGGTTTGACATCTTGCTGGTCTCTGCTGGACTTTCAAAACAGTGTATGAGTCATAAACTATTCCCTCTAAGGTAAGACTCACAGGTCTGGGAGCTATAAAAGAATCCTGTTGGTTTTAAAGGACAGAATTTTTCTTTCATTCTCTCTTCCCTTCCAAACACTCTCTCTGTTTATTTTTCATTCTGTCCTAAACCTTCTTTGTTTATATCCTACATTTTGTAAATTTCTTTCTTCTCCTTCATCTAACTGCTCTTTTACTCCACACCATTTCTCTGGACAAGGCGAGCAAGATCTGGAAAGAATCAGACATTTACACTGATAATGTTCCAGCCGGATTAGCAAATGTTTGGAAAAGACCTCATGCTTTGGGCACCAACTTCTGTCTGATTGGGGTAAAACACTTAAATGACTGGGGTTATTGCTGGATAGAGGCTTTTTTCCTTTATGGTATCTGGTGCTAGTTATTATCAAAGACAGATTGTTGGACTATGTGGACTGACACTAGGTTAGTCCAATCTGGCAGTTCTCATCCCCTGTGCAAATGTGAATCCAGACACATTTCAGTCTAGGATGGGTGTTCTTTTTGATGCATACAGGATAAATAATGAGGTATACTCAGCAAAATTAACAGGCTGCAAGCATGAACTGGTGATCTCTATTCACTGCCCTTGTTACTTGCTGAACTAAATCCCCAGTTCCACTGAAAAAGAATGAGCCACAGAGCTTTCCACATGTTTTAAAATATGTGTATTCATAAGCAACAAAGACTTAGCAGAATGCTTCAGTCATCTGGGTTGAGACACAAGGCAGGGTTAAATTTAAAGCCCAGACAATACACTTGCAGCTAACTTTTTGACCTCATTCTATACATGGGTTTTCTCCATTGCAGAATCTGTGTCATCAGGCTGAGAATGCCAATACACTTTTTAGATGGGGAGTTGATCCCTTAGGCACTTATCTAGCTGAACTGGAATAATTGCTTCCTTTCCTCTTGTATTGCTTCAAGGCATTTTTATATGTTGTATCTTAGTATTTCTGTTGACCAGAGCAGGAAGCCATACAGCAAGTTGCAGCCAGATTTCAGGGACTAAGCTGATTAACTCTGGTGAAGCTCTAATGCAAATCCCATCCCATTTAATTCCTCAGCTCGCCTCCACACTGCATGGTATTCCATCCACAGACACAGTCCCACATTACCAAGTGACACAACACCACCAGCAGCCTCACATAAATCTTGCAGAGCTTGGGGCTGCCAGTCACACTGCACGGTTTTGAGGTGAAATTTCCATCTTAGCACAAGGGCCAAACAAATGACACGTGGTGTTCAAGTCACTCAGAGCTTTGCAGAGCAAAAAAGGTTCATGTTTTGCAAAAGGGAACTTTAGTGTGGGTGGTTTCTTGGTCTGCTGAAGTGTGCTTATTGTATTGACTGGATAATGAATTAATAAGTGTTGTAATATCAAATGTGTACATGTTTATTTACATTTATAGGTACACACGTGTAGCTACAGAAGTGTGCTCCAGTGTAAAACCTGGTCTGATGATACTGGTCAGAATAAAATCAAACTGCAAGAGAGATAGAAATAATGGGAATTTCTACTGTTTCCAGGGATGATAATCCTTTTCCTGCAAAGACCTAAGATGGCAGTTAGCTGCTAACACAGTAAGGAGTAAAACATGACAGAAAAAAACCCTTCTGCTGACATCTCTACATCCACATCAATATAAATTAAATGAGAGTTTAGCTTCAAACTGTTAAAAGGTTGTTAGACCCATGTTTAACAAAAATGCTGATGTTATAGTCTGATTTTGACAAGGTTCAGGTTAATACCAGCCGGCTGAATTCCACAGCCATTGACACACCTCTGGGAGCTGCATATTCACAGACAGAGGCGGTTTGACCTCATCCAATTTATACATTTGATCTAATGCACTGGAGACCATCTAAAAATAGAGTTCTGGAGGGGAGGATGGATAATGCTTCTGAGCCACAGACCAACAAAAGCAGCTCTCCTTCCAGTCTCTTTTCTCTCTGTATGAAGCTTCAGCACGAACTCTCTTACAGTAAAAAAAATTGCTTTTATCACAGATCCCCTCAGAATAGATAACTTCACTCTTAATAAGTCCAAAAGAAAATTTGTCAGCCCTTCATGAATGACCAGATGTTGGGAAAATGATGGTGTGTCATTTCCCTGAACAAACATTCTTGGCATTTATGCATTTCCTCCCATATCTCTTTAAAAAATGATTCTGTGTAAATTTAGTGCTGACAAAACTGAAGGCCTGGGAGAAAATGGATTACTCACTCATTTGGTAATTTTACTTGGTCAAGGCATGGAATTTTTGTTTTCTGGAAAATTTGACACTGAAATATTACTCTTCCTTCCGATTCAGAATATTAAAGCATAAGAATTTCCATTAAGCAGAAAATCCAAAATGGCATTTAGAGATCCTTTTATTTGAAAATTTCAAGGTGTAGTCTTTCTTTCACAATATTTTTATTTTTTTATTACATGACGTGACCACTGATGGAAATTTGCTTTTAGATCAAGTGCCACTCCTATGTACTGGATTAGGAAAGTTCAGATTGTTCATTCAGTGCAAAAGAGGATGCAGCACTTTAGTATTGAAAATGTGTTTTTTTAAGAAATGTGTTGAAATAGCACACTTCACTTATTCACAATCATATGAAATCCTTTGGTTATATGCTAAACTGCAAGTGATAATGAGTCATTTACACTAGCATAACTATTGAAATCAAATAATTTTAAACCCCCTTATTTTTAATATAAAATTTTAAAAATGTCAAAACAGACTTCCTTTTACTGCATTTCCCTAAAAATCCAGGTGCAATCAATTGCACTTCCCATGTAACAATATAGTGGCTCAGAAAGTACTTTTACAATTAGAAACAGTTACTTGGAATGTCTGTTTCAACAAATAGGTCAGGTAGTTGTTATCCCTGTATTTCTAGAATTCTGTCAGTGTCCAAACAGATGGTTGGTGATTATGAAGGTTTATGTGTATTTAGTGTTTTCATTAATATAATTCCCATACAATTATCTGCAAGATTTCTTCTCTCAGTATTGGTATTTTATCGATAATTTCCACAGTGATATAAACCAATTAATTTACATGGATGATTGACTTCAGTAAATGAAATCCCAGTTGTCTCATTCCATTATTCATGTATACAACAGAGATACTGAAACATTGTCTATGAAATGAAAAATATTAAGAGATTCACCTATATTGCACAATGATTGAACAAAATAACTCCCTGGGAATCAATGTATAATTACCCTCTTTTGGAATGTCAGTAATTTTCCTCTCTGGGTTGTGAGCCTGATTTGAAGAGGAGACAGAGCAGCAAAACCTGTGCAGCTCTGCTGATTCAGTAATTTACTGGCAGAACCATCAGTTGTAAAGAGAATTACTCTGTCTTCACTGAAGGAGCCATAACACAGTGGCAAAAAGGAAGCAGAGCCAAGAGGGCAACTGATCAGCATGGCTGTTTTTCATGTGTGGGGGAATTTCTCTGCCATGTGATTTTGCACACTGTGTAACTTTACAAAGTCTTATGTCAGAGAGAGCCCCAGCTCATGAATCCACAACTGCCTCTAGTAAGTACTGTCATAAAAGAAAAGTGATAGTTAATAGACTACATTTTGTCCTCTGTTAAAAGTCACTAACTACACTGGGGTTTCCACTGATAAAACCAAGGCTCCTGCATCTTTGCCAGGATTTAAAATATTCTCATGTATTTATGGTATCGATCTGGATTTATTTTCATTTATGAAATTGATTTGAAAGAATACATTGGAGTAGAGCGTTCATCCTTCATCTGAAGCTGAATCAGAAATAGTTGTGTGCTGACTACATCTCAGAAATCCTTCATGCCATTGTACCAGTACCCTGCACTCATGCAAGGCACGTGCTTGATGTGGGTCAATGGCTGGCAGGAGAGCGTGGCCATCCAGGTGCCATCCCGATGCCATGTGGCGCGTTTGGGCAAGGAACTTACCACCTTTGGTGTACCATTTGTGCATCTTTGAAATAGGATTTCTTATCTTGTATAAGGGTATACTGATGTGTGGATGAGAGAGAATGTAACCAAACAAACTTCCAGAAGTCTCTGTACTCGAACGCTGTACTTTTCATCCTGAGCTCAGCAGTTGAACTGAGTCCAGACAAAAGCACTGCTGAAATACCACATTCGCATCGCTTTCTACTCTGCGCTTAAAACATTGTTTTTTTCCATCCTCTTTCCATGCAGGCATTTCTTCCAGTGTGGTACCTGCCGGCAAACTCCCATCATAGGTGTATTTCCTGGCCATCTGCGATGATCCGTTTGCCCACTGCAGCTTCCCAGGCACTTGCACAGCAGCCCTTACCGTAAGTCTAAAGCGATGCTGCCCTCTCCTGTTCACACTTGACCCGAATGATCTGCTTCCAGGCAAAGGGTGCACGGTGTCTTTGTGACCACCTCGAGCTAAAGAGTAGCCAGGGAAAAAGGTCCACAGTTTAACTGTGCTTTTATCGGTCTTTTACAATCTGTATGGATAGCACACTATGGAAATGTTCTTAGAAATTCTATTCCTTGCAATTCTTTTCCTTGGAAATTTTCCCTTCCTAACATTCCTTTTCTCTCTCTTTTCTCATCCCTCCCTTATATTCTTTGTTTACAATTTATTTTACTTTTTTTCAATCCACCTGCTCCTTAATATCTTCTTCCCCCTGGACACTTTCTAAACACACTATTCCTCTAGACCCAGTTAAAATAATGCAGGTTCTAATTGCAACAAGCAGTTCTTTAAAAATCAGAGGAGACAGTCAAAGCCCGGTTCCATTATTTGGTCCCTGAGATAAGAGTTTGACACAATAATTGTGCTAGCTCAGACAGCTCCCCAGAAGATCCCATCAGGGAGCTAAACTCCTCTTCAGGGGAAAGGGCAAACATGACAGCAGTGAGGTCTGAAGCGACAAAATAATAATAATAATTTAGTTTTTCTATTGTTCTTGTTACCACCCCTCCTGCTCAATGAGTTAAAATATTCACACAGCTCCTTTTAGGAGCAATGCCTTTAACACTCATCCAAGCCATTATTAAATGCATATATAGTTCCCTCATCCTGAAACCAGATTTTCCAAACCATGGGCTGTGGGGGAAATTCAAAAGGACCACTGGAGGGCTAGAGAAAAAAAAAAAAAAAAAAAAAAAAAAAACCAACCAACCAACCAAAAAAAAAAAAACCAACAAAAAAAAACCACCCCCAAAAAAACCTTATTGTTAATGTAATTGTTTAATTTATTATTGATTTAATATCAAAAGAAAACATATTTTTATTTCTATTGTTCTTTTCTGTAAGTTTCATGCTGACAGTATTTAATTTTTCCCAGAGGAAAGGCAATTGAGAGGAAAGGCAATTGAGAAGTGGCTATACATACTGACTTCAAGCAGTTATACTAATCAGCCTTTAAATGCTGGCTGCAACTCAGTCCCTCCACTACCAGGGAGAGTTCTGTGCGCTCCTCCTCTAATTACGGCCAATTCTCTCTCCTCTGCCCTGGAGGACGCTGAACTGCTCCTGCCATGGAAAGGTAATTAGCTATTTCCTGCCTGGGGACAGTCGAATGGAGACGGATGAGCTCAAAACCCTTAAGTGTGCTCAGCACCGAGCACTGCTGTTCTACTCCTTGAACATGCCCAGCTCTTAGCGCCGCTGGATTAATCGCTCTCGGGGTCTGCTTGTCGCCGCCCCTCTGGCACCGAGTGTGCCCAGGGACAGGCTCTGCAGGCAGGCTCCTCGTGTCCTCAGGTGGGGAGCTCGGTGCTGCCAAGTGTTCAACATCTCCGCACAAGAGCTGAGGGGTGTCAGTTCACTGGGCTGAGAGTGTCAGCGCCTTGCAAACGCTGGATTTATGTGTCCTGACGTCTGTGCTCCCGCCGCACCCTGGGAGCACAGACCTATTTAAATGAGGGGGTTGGCTCTTGTCTCTCATCCAGCTCTTTGGAGGAACACAGTCCTCCATGTATTGTTCCACACCAATAGCTGCTGGATTCTGTTCCTTTAAAACTAGCATGTATTTTGATAAAATTCCTTCAGAATATCCCTGTTTCCTTTTCCTCTGTATTCACAAGTACCCCCAAAATCTCACACTCTTCTGCCTGCTTAACAAAGAACTCAGATTTGCTTCCTGAGCTATGCACAGACATATCTTAAAGTGTCTTGCCAACTCATCTTTCATTCACCTGGAAGCCATATAACAAGGTAGACTGCCTTGAAGTACTCACTGTCATCTGTCAGCTCTCAAGGTGTTCATCAGGCTCACAGCACCCACATCATTTGCAATCTTCATTTGAGGCACGCCTGCAAGGTCCTGTGATGTTCTGTGATGGAAAACTTTTTGCTTACATCTGGAATCATTGTTCTTCAGTCTCAGATGGGGGTGAGGGGAAACCTTTATAAGGGAAAAAGGACAATGAAGAAAGATGTTAAGGCAGCTAGTTGGTCAATGAGTCACAGCTACTAAAAATTTGGCAGCAGCTGCAAAGCAGCCAAATGTAACCAGCTCTAAAAGTCCCACAGTATGTCTCTTGCTCATTCACTCACATATGCAAACACACAGAGTTTAGACAAGCAATTCCCTGCTCCTCATGCTCTTGAGATGAACTTGTAAGCAACTTGGGCATGGGGTTTAATTTCTACAGGAAGTATTTATTTTGCTTTCCTTTGCCGATTTTCTAACCTCCATCACTCTGATGGAGGTTTCTGATGGTGTCTCAGGATCTGACTTGCAGCCTGCTGAACTCAGTGTGAGTCTCTCCTTGATGCTCAGTGGAGAGACCACAGATCAAGCCCTTAGCAATCAGTTTGGGCCACATGTCCTGATGACTAAGAAGGTAGATGCTGACAGTGTAGAACAATAGCAGAGGAGGCATAAAAGGGGACTGATTGACTGTCTGATGCTGTATTTTGGCTGCTAATGTTGATTGTGGCCTCTGGTTGGTTTATCATACAATTACTGCTGACATGGCAACGACTTTGAAAAGAAGCTAAGAACTTGAACTCCCTTGGGAAAGAAGGCCAGAGAGACAGTGTGTTGAAAAAGAAGGGTCAGGAAGACCAAAGCTGAGCAGTTGTGAAGGGAAGTGAAAAGGGATGTGAGGAAACTGCAAAGAAAAAAATTACGTGAAACAGAAAGCAGGTTTTCACACCCACTCCCCTGGGTAAAATGCCAATAATAGCAACTAACAACAACAACAACAACAAAAAAGCATACAACACAACCCATAAGTTAAAAAAAAGACTTCTAAAAATTCTTGCAATGTAATAATGATATAGCATTGGTAGACAATTGCAACCAGAGGAAAAAAATGTTTTTATGAGCCCCAGATTACCTACTCAAATTGCAAGGTGCCCACTTGTGCCAGCTGTGAATTTGGTCTCTGATTTTTGTAATATTTCAGATCTTTTGAAGGCTGTTTTAGAGAGGAAGTTCTTCAGTCCCCTTTCTGCAAAATAAGAAGGTATAATCAAGGAATTATTTATTTCAAAACTGGATGAATAATACACTATCAAATTCAAGTGTTCTTTATTGTGAGCCTGAAAACCTTTTGTTCAAAATGTGTTACGGGTTGGAGAACAGGTTTTAAAAGCCTAAAACTATTCCAAAATCACTGTGAATGGTTTTCTGGGAAGGAAAGATTATATATTACACTTGGTTCCTCTCCAAGATTTGTATGTCTTACATGAATGCTCCTCTGTCTCCTTCAGTAGTGACCTATCTGAGATCAATTATGCCAACAGTAAAGTCTGGAATTTTTATAGTCCAGCTCTTTACGAGCGTTTTCATAGAAAAAACTTATGAAGACTGAGGCATAGGAAAAGTCCAATAATCCTGGCCTGCGATCTTCATCATCTCCAGCCCTCTGTCTTTTCCTCTTTACCCTCTCCAAGTGAAAACACCAGCTCCCATAATACACATACTGCATTGAGGTGATTTAAATGGCCATCTGTATGTTTATCTGAGGCCTCTGTGAATGGGCAGCCTCATTAGTGCTTGTGTCATGGACGGATGGGAAAACACAAATTCTGTTTGTGCAAGATAAATTCTCCTCTCCTGGCTTTATCTCTTTTGTTCATTCCTTTTCAACTCATTTTTCTTTTCTTTCCTCTCTGGGAGTTTATTCCTGCTAGAACTCAATTTCTTTTTTCTGAGGTTGGATCCTGATGCCTTTACTTTCCCTTTTTTCTCTGCACATGCTTAGGAGAAATCTCTCTGAAAAGAAATAAATTTAAACCTGATTATGGATTTTCCTATAGGGGTGATATTACTGTCATTAGTGGGACTAATTGGAAAAAATAATGTTATTCAGGACAAGGGGGCACCAGGAGCAGTTCCTTAGTAATAACTTTTTAAGCCATGACTAGGGACCTGGAAATTTTGAAGGCTGCCCTTAGGTTTACTTCCTTTTTTGCAATGATAAGAAGCAGTGAATCTGTATTATTTGTCAGTAATTAATATCTACTTTGTGTCATCTCCCAAAACAATGAAGGAAGGCTTAAGATTCTAAGCAAAATGTGTTCATTGGATTCATGTGCTTACCTTTGGCTTTAGATTTTGAGAAACATGTTTATGGGGAGGATGCTGAATCTGTCATGCTTAGATGCACTGAGTAGCACTTGACTGCTCAAATGCTCCTGCTGGGTGAACTAAGTATTTAATAAATTCCAAGGAGCAGTGTTGTGCTTCACTGGCTGGGAAATTGGGAAGTGGAGAGGCAATTGTATTAGTCAATATGAAGGGAGGTCACTGTCAGGGTTTTAAATCAAGGCTTAAAGAAAGCAAATATTAATTCAGACAAGCTGTGGCTCAACCACAGGTGGGGTTTTGTCCCTGTAAGGAAATCACAAGAATGATATGTTTGGTATCCAATATAATGTTGAATTTTCCCTTTATTTTCTGCTGCATTTAGTTCGCTGCCTATCCCCAATGCTGTCTGCAACCTGACTGCCCTGCTGGATCCTTTCTGGTTTGTTCCTCAATATTAGTATCAGCTTCACTGGGAATTCTGAATGTGGGTGAGGGCATTAAAGAGATACATGAGTGATGGCTGAAAATCACCAAGAGTCAAACTATTAGTCACTCCTAAGTACTTTTGGAAGCCATCTGCAGAAATTGAGATAACAGAATCCAGTTTTCTCTTTTATCAAAGACCATGTTCAGGAAGGGTAAGGGCTAAGGAAGGATACATTTGCTTTCAACAATAAGTTATTATCTCTGACTGAAATACATATGCAGCACACATGTGGA